GGCTGGGCTGGGGACCAGGGTCCATGGGAGGCCACAACCAGGGAACCCGGGGCTGGGCTGGGGACCTGGGGAGGCCTGAACACAACCTGGGGGGCCTGAGGCTGGGCTTGAGCTATGGAAACTGATGTCAGATCTGGGTGGAGGGTGGGAACATGGCAGCTGGGAGCTGGTGGGAGGAGCTGAAAGGAGCCCCAGGTTTGGGCTGCACGTTAAGACAACTGAATTTTGAGTCAAAGGACCTGGCTTCAAATCCAACCTTGTCCTCTTGGGCACTTCCCCTTCTCTGGGCCTCAGTTTCCTTCTCTGTTAGATGAGGCCGTTGGACAAAATGATCATGAAAGTGCCTGTCGGCTCCAAGTCTGTTGTCTCTAACCCCAAGATCATATAGTCTTGCTTTATAGAGAAGGGAATTTAGACTCATCAAAGAAAGTGACCTGTATTTAGCAGCCTGGCTCGTTTGGAACTCACTCCTTATTCCAAAGGCCTTTTTTCTTCATTCATTCAACAAAAAACATCCATTAAGTGCCTACTTTGCAAATGTCTTTGGTGATGTGCACCAGGGTGGGCACTGGTGGGTGCCCTAGGAAGTCTTGGATTGGAAGGTGACCTCCCCAGACACCATCGAGGCCAACCTTTTATCCATTGTAAGAATCAATTCCCTCAACAACACACCACCTTTTCCTTCCGCCATTAGATTGTAAGCTCCTTGAGGGTAGGGACTGATTTTGTCTTTTTTTGTATCTCCAGAGCTTAGCACAGTACCTGGCACATAGTAGGTACTTCAGTGCTTGTTGATTGACTGACTGATGGAATCTCCATTTGCGAACCTCCAGTGATACCCCTATTGTCATGTTACAAGCCACCTCACTCCTTTGGGAATAGCCCTTATATATTACAGGAGATCCTGAATTGTCTTCCTGTAACTTGCATGAATTGGTCCCAGCGCTGTCCCTCTCAGCTGATATTTCAACCTCTAAAGGAGATCTTATGTTCTTCCTGAACCTTTTCTTAGACAAAACATCCTCGGTTCCTTCAGCCTTTCCTCAACACCATCGGTGGCTCTCTAGTTTGTCAGGATCTCTTCTAAAGTACGGCACCCATAACTGAGCATCGGTCTTGATACCACAGTAGACGGAGGCCACTGGACAGCCAGCTTGTGTAGTCCAGCCACTGGACTCTCCTAGTTTGTTCATTCATTATTTCAATGACTGCAGTTTGGTCAGAGGTGGCAACGCTTCCCCAGATGCAATCTGAAGTACGCCTCGAATCAACAGATCTGGGTTCATATCTTATGGCTTCTACTTTATGTAACCTTGGGTAGGGCCCTTTCCCTCACTGGGTCCCAGTTTCCTCATCTGTGAAATAAGAGAGCTGGATTAAATCATCTCTTTTTTTTTTTAAAGGCAATTGGGGTTAAGTGACTTGCCCAGGGTCACTCAGCTAGTAAGTGTCAAGTGTATGAGGCCAGATTTGAACTCAGGTCCTCCTGAATCCAGGGCCAGTGCTCTATTCACTGTGCCATCTAGCTGCCCCCGACATCCCCTGTTCTTGGGACCTTCCCAGCTCTGACATTTTCCGTCCTATCTTCTAAGCTCTTTCCAGTTACAGTATCCTATGATTGTAGGCGTTAGCGTTCTGGATCAACTGACTTGAGCCCTCTGATGGCAGGGCACTAGGTTCAATAACCTGCCTCGTGATGCTGGGGCCAGAGGAGTCTGAGCCAGAAGGGAGTCCTGTGCCCAGGGGCTGAGGTGAACCCAGCTGGGGAACTCTGAGCAATGAGCCAAGAGAGGGGCTTTATTCCCTCCCGTTCTCTTCTCTTGATCTGCTGATCTGTCACTACGTTCCTCAAGCCAGGTGGGGCATGGCCCTCATAGTAGGGTAATGTCTGTATCTCACTGCCTGTGAGACGTTTCTGCTCACTGTTCCTTGGCTGTCTCCAACTCAACGTGTCCCAAACTGAACTCACTATTGTTCCCTAAAGCCTTCCAAACTTCCCTCTTACTGTTGAAGGCACCACCATCCTCCTCCTCACCGAGGCTGGGACCCTTAGGGACCGTCTTTGGCTCCTCATTCGCTGTCACACCCTGCCTTTTCGTTTCTGCCTTCATGACATGTCTCGTACATGTCCCCCCCCTCTATTCTCACAGCTGCCGCCTGATAGCGGCCCTCATCACTTCTTGTCCAATCTATTGTTATTGTCCAGTCATTTATGACTCTTTGTGACCTCGTGGACCACAGCACACCAGGACTTTCTGTCCGAGCTCATGTTCATTGCTTCCATGACACTATCCATTCATCTCATCCTCTGCCATCCCCTTCTCCTTTTGCCTTTAATCTTTCCCAACATCAGGGTCTTTTCCAATGAGTCCGGTGGTCTTCTCATTACGTGGTCAAAGTATTTAAGCTTCAGCCTCAGTACTTGACATTTCAGTGAAGAGCCTCAATCAGTTTCTTTAAATATTGACTGATTTGACCTTCTTGTTGTCCAAGAGACTCTCCCAAGGCTTCTCTAGCACCACAATTCAAAAGTGGCAATTCTGGGGCACTCAGCTTTCCTTCTGCTCCAGCTCTCACAGCTATGCATTGCTACTGGAAAAACGGCAGCTTTGACTACACAGATCTTTGTTGGCAAAGGTGAGGTCTCTGCATTTTAGTATGCTGTCCACATTTGCCAGAGCTTTCCTTCCAAGGAGAAATTTCATGGCTGCAGTCGCCATCTGCAGCGATCTTTGAGCCCAAAACCATAAAATCTGACATTGCTTCCATTTCTTCACCCTCTATTTTCCAGGAAGTGACGGGCCCAGTTGCCAAGATCTTAGTTTTTTTGATGGTAAGCTTCAAGCCAGCTTTTACACTCTGCTCTTTCACCCTCATCAAGAAGCTTCTTAATTCCTCTCCACTTTCTGCCATTAGAGTGGCATCATCTGCACATCTCAGATTGTTGACATTTCTCCCGGCAACCTTAATTCCAGCTTTTGTCTCGTCCAGCCTGGCATTTCGCATGCTGTGCTCTGCCTATAAGTGAAATAAATAAGGTGACAATACACAGCCTTGTCATACTCCTTTTCCAATCTTAAACCAATCAGCTGTTCCATGGTTGGTTCTAACTTTTTTCTTGGCCCACGTACAAGTTCCTCAGGAGACAAGTCAGATGATCTGGTCCCCCGTCTCTTTGAGGACTTGCCACGTTTTGTTGTGATTCACGCAATCTAAGGCTTAGTGTTGTCCATGAAGCAGAGGTGGATGTTTTTCTGGAGCTCCCTTGCTTCCTCCCTAGTCCAGCGGATGTTGGCAGTTTCTTCTCTAGTTCCCCTGCCTCTTTGAAAACCAGCCTGCTCTTCTGGTAATTCTTGGTTCACGTATTGCTGAAGCCTAGCTTGCAGAATCTTAAGCATAACCTTGCGGGCATGTGAAATGAGGGCAATTGTTCGGTGATTTTAACATTCCTTGACATTGTCCTTCTCTAGGGTTGGGACGTAAACTGATCTTTTCCAATCCAGTGGCCACCGTTGAGTTTCCAAAGTCGCCGTCATATTGAGTGCGGTACTTTAACAGCATCATCTTTTAGGGTTTTAAATAGCTCAGCTGGAATTCCGTCACCTCCACTAGCCTTGTTGTTGGCAATGCTTCCTAAGGCCCACTTGACTTCATTCTCCAGGATGTCTGGCTCTGGATGGGCAACCTCACCATTGTGGTTATTGAGCGTGTTAAGATCATTCTTGTTTGGTTCTTCTGTGTATTCTTGCCACATCTTCTTAATCTCTTCTGCTTCTGTCAAGTCACTACCATTGTTGTCTTTTATTATGCCCATTTTTGCATGAAACATTCCTTTTATCTTTAATTTTCTTGAAGAGATCTCTTGTCTTTCCCATTCTATTGTTTTCTGTTTCTTTGCATTGCTCATTTAAGAAAAACTTATGTCTCCTTGCTATTCTCTGGAATTCTGCATTCAGGTGGGTAAATCACCTTTCCCCTTTCCCTCTCCCTTTCCTTCTTTCCTCAGCTATTGGTAAAGCCTCATCAGACGCCATTTTGTTTTCTTGCTCTTCTTTTTCTCTTTCTTTTTTTTTCTTTTTTGGTGAGGCCATCAGGGGTTAAGTGACTTGCCCATGGTCACACAACTAGTTAAGTGTCGAGTATCTGAAGCCAGATTTGAACTCAGGTCCTCCTGACTCCAAGGCTGGAGCTCTATGCACTGGGCCACCTAGCTGCCCCACTCTTCTTTTTCTTTGGGATGTTTTTTGTTACTGCCTCCTGTACAATATTGAGAACCTCTGTCCATAGTTTTTCAGGTACTTTCATGATCCCATTTGGGATTTTCTTGGCAAAGATACTGGAATGGTTTGCCATTTCCTTCTCCAGTTCATTTTACAGATAAGGAAACTGAGGAAAACAGGATTAAGTGACTTGCCCAGAGTCATGCAGCTGGTAAGGATCTGAGGCCAGATTTGAACTCAGGAAGACAGGACTCCAAGCTTGGCGCTCTATGCACTATGGCGCCACCTAGCTGTCCATCAGTCTGCTGTAGTAGGCTCCTAATTGGTTTCTGGTCTCTCCTTTCTCTCATCTCTTTTCCATATAGCTACTAACATGCTATTCCTAAAGTACAAGTCTCACTGTGCTCCTCCCTTCTTCAAGAAACTTCACTGGCTCCCTGTCCCCTCTAGGTCCTAGATGAAATCAGATTCATTCATCAAATGAAATGCCAACTCCTGTTTGGCATTTAAGGCCCATCGACATCTGACCTTGGCCTACCTTTTCAATCTTACTATACATTCCTCTTCTCCACAGCCAGCCCTCTTACTGTTCCTCATCCATGACCCTCCATCTCCACGCCTATGCCCAGGCTATTGTCCAGCCTGAAATGCTCTTTCTTCTCCACCTCTGCCTCTTAGAATCTCTGACTTCCTTCAGAACTTGGCTTAAGCTCCTCTTATGTGACATCTTTATTGAACTCTCCCCCTCATCTGTTAGTGACCCCCTTGATTAATTACCTTGTATTTGTTTTTGAATTGAGCTTCACGAGTGGATGTATTCCCTGGCAGGATGTGAGCCCGTTGGAATGTGAAGAGAGTGTTTCATACCCCTGTTTCTATTCCCCTCTGCCTAGCCCAGTTCTTGATAAATGCTTGTGGATTGATTGATTGAATCTCAGAGTTGGAAGGGACCTTCGAGGCCATCTGGTCTGACCTATTCCCCTACAAAATCTTTCACCAAGTCATCATGCCCCCACAGCTTGGAGACCTCCAGGGATGGGTAGTTCTCAGAGAAGAGCACTACATCTCAAAGGAACCTCTCCTGCTTTTGGACAGCTCCCAATGTTATGGGCTTCTCCCTTATCTACAGCCCAAATCTGCCTCTTCTCACCATTCCTCCTAGTTCTGTCCTCTAGGGTCAAGCAGAATGACGCTAATCCCTTTTCCACGTGACTACCTTCCAGATACTTAGAACCAGCTAGCACAGCCAGCCCTCCCTCCAACTTAACCCGAGCCATCTCTCTTGGTCCAAAGGAAGGAGTCTTGACTCTCTGGAAATCATTGAGCCAGAGAATGGGTATCCACAGACTAACTCTTCCTTTGCTGAGCCACCTGACAAAGAGGAAGGAGCCCTGGCTTTGGGGTCAGGAGACATGGCTTTGAGTTCCCACTCTGACCTTTGATTGGGACCAGTCGCTTAAATTCTATGGGCCTCCGTTTCCATGTTCTGGAAACGAAGTGGGTGGACTTAATCTTAGCAGGCAAAGGACCTGAGAACAGGGACCTTCTCCCTTTTTTATCCCCAGTGCCTGGTGTGTAGTAGGTACTCTCAGCTCTATTGCTGATGAATATTCAGGGCTTAACCTCCACTCACCTCCCTTCCCACGTGCTCAGGGCCAGGGGCCTGGACTCAATGAGCACTTCAAGTCCTTTCCAGCCCTGGGTCTTGGGGCTTCACTGCTAGTCACATCACTATTGCCACCATCAGGCACTGGTTTGGTGCCTCAGTGCACCATCTACACCATCTCATTGGAGCTTCTGGTAGGTAGATACTACCTACCTCCCACGGGGATAGGATGAGGACACTGAGGCTGAGAAAATCACGGTATGCTGTGTGCCCAGCTGATAAGCAGACAAGGCAGGATTTGAACCCAGGCCTTCCTGATTCCAAATTCTGGGTTCCAGCCCTTCCCCGGACTGCCTTTCAAACAGAGGCCCATTCAGCCCCGCAGAGCCTGAGGCCCATGGCCTGAGGCCTGAGGCCTGAGAGAGAGCTGGTGGGCTAGTGGAGGAGTCATGGTCCCGTGGTCAGCCATGCCTGACTGGCTTCTCTCTCTCTCTCTCTCCCTCCCTCCCCCTCTTTCTTTCTCTCTGTCTTTTCTCTCTCTGTCTCTTTTTCTCTCTCTTCTTTCTGTTCTCTATTCTTCTCTCTTGCTCTCTCTTTCTCTCTCTCCCTCTTCTCTCTCTTCTCTCATCTTTCTCTCCTCTCTTTCTCTGTCCTTCTTCTTCCTCCTCTCTCTCATTCTCTTCCCTCTTTCTCTGTTCTTCTCTTCCCTCTCTCTCTCTCTCTTTCCCCTGCAGGACTTTGACCATCACTGCCCCTGGGTCAACAACTGCATTGGGAGACGCAACTACAGATATTTTTTCCTCTTTTTGCTGTCCCTCAGTGCACACATGGTTGGCGTGTTTGCCTTTGGGATGGTTTTTGTCCTCCACCACCCTGACCAGCTTGGGGCAGCCCACACAGCCATCACGTATCCTGCCTGCCTTCCCACCCCTGCCTGCCTTACTTCTTTCTCTTCACCCTCCCTTCTTTTCCCCTTCCCTTTCCTCCTTCTCTCTCCTTCCCTTTCTCTGTACTTTTTCCTTTCCTTTGCCATCCTTCCCTTCATCCTCCTCCTTCTCTCCTTCCCTTCCCTTTCTCCTTTTCTCTATCTTCCTTTCCTCCTTCCCATCCTCTTTTTCCTCCTTCAGTCCCATTCTTCCTTTCTCCCATTCATCCCCACTCCTTCCTTCTCTTCCCCAGGAGGGTGGGGGAGTTGGTCAAGGATAACTACGAGACATTGGCCTCTAAGCACTCTGGGGAAGGCAGCTCCCCCACAGGTCATTGCATCTGGGTAATAGGTTCAGGAACCTGACTTCCCTCCCTGGCCCCCGTGGGTGCTAGGAGGGGCAGGTCCCAGCCCAGGGACAGCCTGGGGAGCTGCCTGTCCTGGCTCCTGGTGTTTCCCAAGGCTTTCCTGCCTGTTGGGCTCCCCCTCCCCCACCAGCATTTACCTTAACACCTCCCAGAATGGCCGTCATGTGTGTGGCTGGCCTCTTCTTCATTCCCGTCATCGGCCTCACTGGCTTCCACATTGTCCTGGTGGCCCGGGGCCGTACCACCAATGAGCAGGTAGGGACTCAGCCTTGCAAGAACCAGGGAAGAGGAGGGGTCCTAAAGGCAGGAGGAGGGAGGTGTATGGACCTAGGTAAGGTTAAGGGGTGGGTTGTAAAGTAGTCTGGTCCAGTGGAAATGACCCTGGCTTTGGAGGCTCTTAGGAGCTGGGTGATCATGGGCAAGTTTCTCCCACCCCCCGCCCTCATTTGTTAGCCTATTTTGTAAAATGGGAGTAATAATCTTTGCACATTTTTCCTCATGTGGAAAGCACTTTGCAGACCTTTCTATGGCCCCAAAGTGTTAGATAAATGGGCTCTGTGCTTGTGGAGAGTTCTTTGGTAGAGAAGCCTGCTGAGATCCTCATGCTATGGGTTCTCCTTTCTGAGTCTCAGCTGCCCCATCTGTAAAATGGGTGTAAATAATCCCAGTTTGCTCAAGGTTTCCTTGAGGAGTGGTCCCCCCTTCCAGTTTGCAAACTTGGCACCCTGGTCTCTGGAGATCCCCGAAAAGGCTCCTGCTCCCCCATGTCACTCTTCATCATCAGAAAGACCCCTGGCTCTGGAGTCAGAGGAACAGGGTTCAGATCTCCCCTCTGACCCTCACTTCATGGGTGGCCCTGAGGGGCGCATTAGCGCATCACCAAGCACTTGCCTCCTCGTGTTTCTTCCTCGGTAAAATGAGGGAGTCAGACCAGTTAAGCTCTGGCCTCCCTCTGATAGAAGCTTTGCATGCGTTCACTCATTTGATCTTCCCAAAAGCCCCAGGAGGGAGGCGCCATTATTATTCCCATTCTACAGATGAGGAAACAAACCGAGTCTCCGAGAAATGAAGTGATACAGACTCAGGGCTCACGGGTCGGGGGTGTGCGGCGAATCTTTTTACAGGTGACGGGCAAGTTCCGTGGAGGCGTTAATCCGTTCACTCGAGGGTGCTATGGGAATATCGAGCACGTGCTGTGTAGCCCGCTGGCGCCCAGGTAAGGTAGAGCTCTGTGTGTGTTGCGGGGTAGGGGAGGCAGGGCGCCCCGTAGGTGAAGGAAGTTTCAGTCTGTGCCCTCTGGACCCTCACTGTTGGTGGCCGGCACTTCTAAAGAACACTAGATTTAATATCTGAGGACTCAGTTTCAAATTCTGGTTTTGCCACTTATTAATTGATCTAGAGGGAAAGACATTGGTTCTGGAACCAGGGAGCTAGGTTCAAATCCCGTGTGTGATGCGTACTACTCGTGTGACCCGAGACAGGTCACTTCATCTCCCTTGGTCTCAGTTTTCTCATCTGTACAATGGAGTGGTTGAGCTCAGTGGGCTCTGAGGGCCCTTTAGCATTAGTGCCGTAATCCCATAAATTTTGTAACTCTGGCCCAATCCCTTCCCCACTCTGGGTCTCAGTTTCCCACATCTGTAAAATGAGGGCGTTGGACTAGCTGGTCATAGAATCACAACATTTTCGAGCTACAAGGGACCTGAGTGTCCAACTTGTTCCAACCTGGACGGAGAAAAGTATCCCTGCTACCATACAACCAGCAAGTGGTTCTCCCACCCCTGGTAGATGGCCCTCAGTGAGGGCACACTTGCCTCCCTCTCGGGGTGGCCCGTGGCCTCACTCTTGGACACCTCTGATTTTTAGGAAGGCGTTCTGAGGTTCCTTCAAGCTCAGAGTCCTAGGACGATGCCTTGCTGTCATCTCTGACTGTGGTCAGTGGTCAGTGGACAGATGTCCGTGGTCTTGGAGGCCCTTGGTCAGTGACTGGCCAATCTATGGCCCAAGAGCGCTGTCCATGGTCAGTGGTTAGTGGCCAGCTCGTCTTGGGGCTTCTGTGGTCACAGACAGGTGCAGAGATGGACAGACCACAGCCACGTGGAAACGTAGCACACATTTTAATCACCTACATGCACGAATGCAATTGTATTGCATGCAGGCCCGTACACACAGGCTCACCTCCTGTTGCACAAACACACTTTCACATGTGGAATCCTAGACCCCCATGTGCACAACGTCCACTCTGCACAGGCCTGTCTTGGTAATAAGCTCCTGGACTTCCTTCCTGTCTTTGGCCTTGGCCTGGCTGTTGATCTCCACACAGAGAGACCTTATCAGACAAGCCAGTGAGGACTAATGATGGGTCCCTGTGCCTGTGGGTGCAGTGAGAGCTTGGCTGTTGCTGGGCCTGAATTCCTGTCTCTCTCCCACCCCCAACTCCCCATCACATCTCTCTCCCTGGCCCCCCACTCCCCTCTTCCACCTGCTCTGCCCTGGCCTGAGTCATCTCTCAGGGATCAGTCTTGGCCTTCAGGCACCCCTCTTCTCCCCCGTTAGGCTGGGCTGCAGTGGAGCTGCTGGTGAGGCAGATCTCCAGAGCCCCTCAGCTCCATCCTCCTGGGACATGTGGAAGGTTTCCTTCCTCTCCACGAAGCCCACCCTCACAGAGACTTACAAGAAATCTCAGCTGGCCCAGGACTCCGCCTGCCCACCCCCTCTCTTTTCTCCTGGTTTTCCCCTCCAGTTTCCTTCTTTCTCATTCCTCCCTTCTCTCCCTCCCTTTTCCTACTCTTTCCTCTCCTCAGCCTCTTTCTTCTTTCTCCTCTCTGCTCCTTCTTTCCTCTTTTTCCTCACTTCTCCCCTACCTCTCTCCTCTCCATCTTTTCTTTCTTCCTTTATCTTCTGATCTCCTACCTTTCTTCTCAAAGTAGAAAAAGCCCTAGAAGTAGAATCATACACCATATGTTTGTATCCCAGCTCTGCCTTCATGGCTTTGGATAAGTCTGGGCCTAAGGTTCCCACCTTTGGAGAGGGAAAGGGAAGAAGATGAGAACCTGAAAAGGACCCCAAAGACCACCCAAGACCAATCCCTTCACTTTTTAGATAAGAATAATGGAAGCAGCCTGCTGGAGTGGAAAGATCATAGAACTCTTAGGTTATGAGATCTCAGTTCAGATCCTGACTCTGCTACTTACTACCTGTTTGACCCTGGGCACGACCTCGAGCCCTCCCTGTAAAGTGATGAGCCTGCACTAGAGGAAGCCCACTCCAGCTCTGATATTAGGGTTCCAGGTTCCTGAAGCTCCTTTCAGCTCTAAATCCTATGAACTCTTCCCTGGGTACAGCTCTCCTTGGCCCATCCCCACTGAAGACAGGGGCAGGTAGGCACCATTCCCACCACTCCACCATCTGACACCTCTTTCAGCTTTAAAACCTACAAACCCATCATCTCCTTCCTCCTTCCCTGGGCACAGCTCTCTTTGGCCCATCCCTACGGAAGATGGGGGCAGGTGAGCGCCATTCCAATCAGTTCATTATCTGACTCCTCCAGGTATGTGGCAGAGCCCAAGTTGAAGCTGGCTGTGAGTGTGAAGCCCCCATTTCTGCGACCTGATCTCTCCGACAGGCAGGTGTCTGTGAAGGTCAGTGACAATGGAATCCAGGCCACCTTGAGCCGAAGCAAGGTGAGGCAGGGTCCAGGCCTGTCCCCCTGGGCCTATGTGTGGGAGCTCTGGGGCAGAAACTCACTAGTTGGTGTGGAAAAGGAACTGACTTGGGAGCCCAGGACCAGGGTTTCAGTCTTGTGTGACCCTGGGCAGGGGACTTTCCCTTTTGTGAAGCTCAGTTGTCTCATCTGTAAAATAGATGCAAGTAATTACAGCTTACTTTCCTCAAGGGGCTGCTGTGAGCACCCCCTGGGGTAAGGGTGTATACATATTCCTCTTCTTTTGAGACCAGGAGGGGGAGTGGAGGCCAAGAAGCTGAGAGTAGAGGACAATTAAAGCATGCCCATCTTGGGGAGGGGAGAGGGTGGAAGATGGCAGCACTTATACCCAAAGCCCAAGGGATGTCAGGTGAGGCTGGGGGGGAGGAAAGAATGTCCCAGGACAGGGGACCTTCCCAGGTGACCCCAGCCCCTTGGGCTTTTCAGTGGGGAGGGCAAAGGGCTGAGCAGTCTGGCTGGGGCCTCTGACCACTAACTCTCTGATTTAGTCCAAGATTAGCCTGGGAGGGCTGGATGAGAAGTCTCTGGACCTGCAGCCTCCCCTGCCCCCCAAGGGAGAGCCCGGCAAGTACACTGAGCTTCAGGGGAGCAGTGACGGTGAGTAAGACTGGGCCACCCCTGTCTGGGCCAGAGCAGCTAGGCAACTCTTTGGGGACATATGATAAGCACCAAGAGAGGAAGAGGGGGCAAAACAGGAAAAAGGAAGGAAGAGGGAGGAAGAGAGAAGGAAAAGAAAAGAAGGGAGGAAGAAGGAGAAAAGGAGGAGAGGAAGGGAGAAGGAGAAAAGGAGGAGAGGAAGGGAGAAGGAAAGGAGGAGAGGAAGGGAGGAGAAAAGGAGGAGAGGAAGGGAGAAGAAGGAAAGGAGGAGAGGAAGGGAGAAGGAGAAAAGGAGGAGAGGAAGGGAGAAAAAGGAAAGGAGGAGAGGAAGGGAGAAGGAGAAAAGGAAGAGGCGATGGGAGACATGAGGCTAGAGAAAGGGAGAAGAGGGGAAGAGGGACAAAGAAAGGAGAGGAAGAGATGGAGAGAGACAGAAAGAGCAAGGGAAGAAATGGAGAAGGAGAGAGGAAGAAAGGGAGACTAAAGGGCGAGGGAGGAAGGGAGCCAATTGCCCAGAGAGCCTATAGGGCAATGAGAAGCTGGGGGCTAGGGCACGCTTGGTCTATGCCCAGTCCTGAAGTCCCCTACAAGCAATGCCAGCCTCAAGGCTGGCTCACCCAATTACCAGCCTTCTCTGCCCTGCAGGGCCCGCTATGTTGGCATCCCCTTCAGGTCCCACCTTCTGGAGGCCCACGAGGACTCCTGACCTTGGTAGGTGAGTTTGTCTGTCTTTCTCCTCAGAGGGTGGCCTGTCCCCTAAGCTGACCAGCCCCCCAACTCCTGCTATGTACAAGTATCGGCCTGGCTTCACCAATAATTCCAAGATTCACTACCATGCCACAGCTGACCAGGTGAGGAATTGCTCAGACTTTTCTGGACTCTCCGCCTTGGATGAATGTGGAGGGTGGGATCATCTCTACAATCTTCTCAGAGTACTTGGCCTGGATCTTTCAGGATCATAGAACATCAGAGCTGAGAAGGGGCCTTAGAACAGGGAATGTCACAGCTGAGAGGGATCTTGGAACAGGGATGCCAGAGGTGGGAGGGATCTTGGAACAGGGATGTCAGAGGTGGGAGGGGCCTTAG